TTCTGCTAATCTTTCTTCTTCTTTAAGTTGCAATTCTCTTTGATGCTTACGTTCTTTTTCTTCTCGTAACTCGCGTTTTCTTGCTGCTTCTAGAATAGCACTATATTGTTTACGATGACGTTCCTCTTCAATTGCATTTTTAGCTGGTAGATTAGCAGGTCTTGGTTGTTGAATTAAAGCTAAACTTCCACCTATTTTATCTATGTTTCTTGATGGACTACTAGTAGGTGTAGATTGTTGAGAATCTTTATTTTTCCATGAAAATACATTTTTTGAAAAAAGAATATTTAATCCCCAACGCTTAGATTTCTCAGTCCTTTCTATAACTTGTTGATCATCAGAACCCAAAAAACTTCCAGAAGGAGAAACTTCACTAAGGGAAGACACTGTACTGCTACAAGAACGTGGCAAACTGTTTCTTGGACTACTGTTTGCACTACCACTTTCCAGTCTTATATATTTATCTTCATCAACTTTAAAGTTATCATTTAAAGAATCTTCTTTATAATCACAAGAAGAATCTAAATATTGAGATTTATAATCCAATTGTGATTCATTAGATTCTTCCAAAGAATATATTTGTTTTGTAGTGGGATTATAAGCTAAAGACATACTTTCCAATGCATGATTTAAACTAGTTCCAGCAACACCTACAGATACTACATTGCCAGCATCATACCATTTATTTTCTCGAATATGGACACATAATGCTTTAGTTTTTACAGCAGGTAATGAAGCTACATCACATGCCAAAGCTTCATTGATATTCACACTGTTACAGGATATAGAACTTCCATTCAATGATACTAATTGTTGTTTACCAATTTTTGGAACAATATTATTTGCAATATAACAGTTAGAATCTCGTCCAGCAACTTTTAATACTTGATAATTATTAGACATATTTCCATAACGAGACACAATACATGGAGATACATTTTGTGATGAAATAGAATGATGATTATTTCCATTTAAATGGTTAGATATAGGATTCTTCATGATTGATATTTGTTTTCTAACCTTATCAATATATTAAATACTTTTTTAATAAGAAACCAACAAGTATTCAATTTTTTATGTATATTTATGGATTTGAATTTATACATATTTTCTCATTAATTTTTAATAATATTATATATATACATCATCAATATTCGTAAAGGTAACGATATTACGATGAAACAACACCCAACAAAATCTCATTATTTTGGTATAGTTTTTTTATAATATAGGAATTTTTGAGGATAGATGTCAATTATCTTATTAATTCTATCCTGTTATAATATTAACAAACAAATAAATTCCACTCATATATTTTCATCAAACAAATTGATTATAATGAAAAAAATATCTTCAATTTTTACATTAATAACTTTTTTGGTTGTCTCACAAAAAATTAAAGAAAATCAGATCTGATTTTCACACAATAATAATAAAATGCATGATCATAAAATGATGTATAATTCAATTGATAAATATTTATAATTAATACCGTGATGTTTTATGAGTAATTTATATATACTGCCTAAAATTAACAATTATCTACGTTCAATAATATACATTCATAGAATAAAAAATTTATGTTTTTGTTCTTACTTATTTATGCAATAAAAATAATTAATATTTTCAATTGATGTTTTAGTTTTAGAATAAAAATATTTTTTTTAATAATTTTATAAATTATAAAGAAAATTTATCCCGTACACGATCACTGATCTTTACTACTATGACTAACGAATCACATGATTGCATTACTACCTATTGTTAAATTAATAATAATAATTTTTTTATTTTTATTCATGAACATATTAATGCATAATATTATATCATTATTGCATTTATAATTTAATTCCTATTTATTATTTAATATAAAATAAATAAATAAAAATATTACATATATCTAATATATTTAATGTTCAAATTAAAACATTTCTTACTAATACAAATGTATTATAAAAAGTAATATAAAAATAAAGTATAAAATAAAAATATATGTTTCTTTTAAAAATATTAAATATTTAAAAAGATACAATTTTAATAAAATTTCGATAATCAAACCATTTTAACTATTATTAAATATTTATTATTTTTAACTAGTATATATCTATACTAAATATTTTTTCATTTCATTTAAACAATCAAAATTAATTTTAGATATTTATAACATATTATAAAGTATAATATAAAAATAATATAAAGTATAATATAAAGATCATATAAAATAAAAACGTTATATATGATTTTCGTAATTAAAAATTGTACTTTAATTTGAAATAAAAATCCCTAGAACATTATGTCAAAACAGCTGATTATAGAAACTGATGAAAACGAAAATTCATATTAATTGAAAAGCGACTGAAAAGTAGGTTAAAAAAGGTCAAACATCAGTCGTGTCATTGTCAAGTTTCAATAAACGATTATAATTATTTCAGTGAACATACAATTGTCAAGCGTGAATTTTTCAACTTAACAGATGTTTATTGTAAGAAATGTCACAAATTGATATTCAGGATTTATTTGATAAAAGCAGGTAAAATAATTATTTGTAAACAATAAATTTAAATATTGTTTTATAAATAATTATAACATTTCATGATTTTTTTAACAATAAATATAATTTAATTTTTAATAATGATTTCGAAATAAATTTAAAAATTTTTGAATAATTTATTTTTTGTAATTAACATATGGTTCCTCTATAAAAATATTTTAAATATTATTTAAATTTAATATCTTAAAATTGAAAAATACAATTTTCATGTAATATCTTAATTAATATCATAATTAATACAAAAATATAATGTTATTTTATAAACTATATGATAAATTGATTTATATATAATATTATATTGCATAAGAATATAATTATATATTATTTCATAATAACATAGGTATAAAAAGATATTTAATATTGATATTTATAAATTATACTTATAATAAATTAATGCATTATAATAGTTATTATGTAATACAAATAATAATTATTATTAATTGAAATATTTTTTATGTATACTTATAAATATGTTATGTTTTTTTCAAATATAATTAATATAATTAAATATATTATTATAATATTAATTTAAATATTATTATAATATTAAAATTAAATATATTATTTAGATTTCCCAGTGGTTGGCGGCTTGTATTTATATTTTTATATACTCCAGTGGGTATTTTACTTGTATTACTACGGTTGTTAATTGCTTTACAACTTTGGCTTGTTGCAATATTATTACCTGATTGTAATACTCTTCGAACATTCTTAAGTCATGGATTTAGTTTTGCTTTTGGTATCTTGGTGAAGATTCCTGAAGGTGAAGTAAAAGATAAACAATCAAGAATTATAATTAGTAATAATGTTTCTGTCTTGGATCATTTTGCTTTGTATAAAGCTACACAAGCATTAACTCCTACTATGTGGGAGATACCTACTGCCATGAACAATGCACTAGGTTTACAAGTGATGGATATGAGTAGCAAAGAAGCTCTAATTGCCAATATGAAACAATTTCTTTCTACGTCAAATTGCAGCATTGCAATTCAACCTGAATTTGGTATAACCAATAGTCGTGTAGCTTTGTTAAAATTTAATTCTTGGCCATTTACTATAAAAGCATCTGTTCAACCAGTTGCAATTAAAGCATGGAGACCAGAATTTACATCTATTCATCTTACCTCATTAACATCTAGATGGTGGATAGATGTATTTTGGTTTATGTTTGTTCCTTATACAGTCTTTACATTTAAGTACCTGAAAATCAAGCAAAATCCAGATTGTGAAGTATTAGTACGAGAAGTAGAAAGAGATATAGCAACTAGTCTTGGACTTCAAACAAGTTCTCATACTGTGTCAGATAAAATAGAATTTGAAAAGCGCTATATTCTGGAAAGAACACAAAATAGAAGATTTGATAGAAATTCTCCAAATTCACAAGTTATACATAGTATTGAAATACAGAGAATGGTTCGACAAGTCAGTGAAGTGCTTCCATTAGTCCCTCATAATGTGATTTTAAGAGATCTTTGTATGTAATAATTAATAATTATTAATAATTATTAATTCATTTATTATATTGATAACATTTAATCTTCAATATTCTAATTTATTAATATTTATTTTAGTGAAAACACGCAATGTTGATATTACAATTGCTAATATATTGGATGGCATAGTTACTTATACTCCAGATTCATCTCAAATTATTACGCGATCAGCACCATTAAATCAATTACAAAAGAGCACAGTTAAAGATAACAGTAATTTAGGATCTTCTTCCTTTCAGGAAAGAAAAGCTAAAATGATAAGAGAAGCTAGGGAAAGGTATATTCAAAAACATGGACTTAAAAATTGCTGACATTCTCATTACATTTTATTCTGGTTATTATATCTTGATTATAAATATCTAACATTTTGCCGTATGTATATTTATTATTACATACTGTGAATATAATTTTATTTCAAAAATATACTTGTACATCTTTACAATTTCCTATCCTTTGTATGTATTATAAAATCTAAATTTTGGAAGACAATATTTTCAATATAGTAATATATTTTATAAATTATTAATAATATAAAAAATAATTTTTATATAAATTTTTATATAAGTAAAATAAAATTTATTTATATATTGATTATATATCAGAATGAAAATATATATCATAATATATCATTTTATGAATTTAAAAAAATTTTATTTAATCTTTCCTTAAATCTTGATATACGACTTAATATATGAAAAATTAATAAATTAAAAAAAATTTATAAAAAATATGTAGAAAAATATACCACATTTACATATCATTACTTACAATATATTATTTATATATAATATAATATTATAACTTACAAACTACTGGAAGACATTTAATTTTATAAAAAAATTACTATGCTTAATTATTCTAAATTATATAACATAAAAGATGTTCAAAATTTTTATCTACTTTAATATTCATAAAAATAAGTTGAACTAATATTTAATATGTAATATTCTTTAAAATATTATTATACTAAATAAATTAAACAAATTGCTCTATGAAATATATATTGTATAATATATATAAAATTGTATATGTATATTTTCATTAATATTTAAGATTTCCAATACATACATATTTTATCTCAAGAAAATCTTCAATACCATGCTTAGAACCTTCTCTTCCTAAACCTGATTCTTTTATACCTCCAAAAGCAGCTTCTGCAGTAGAAATTAATCCTTCATTTACACCAATCATTCCAACTTCTAATTTTTTTGCTACCCTAAATATTTGTGATAGATCTTGAGAATAAAAATATCCAGCTAAACCAACAGATACATTATTAGATTTTTGTACAACTTCATCTTCAGTGTCAAACTTATATATAACAGCTACTGGACCAAAAATTTCTCGATTATATATTTCCATTTCCTCAGTAACTCCTGTTATAAGGGTAGGAGCATAAAATAATGGCCCTAATTCAGGCAATGGTGTACCACCACAATGTAATTTTGCTCCTTTTTTTACAGCATCAGTAACTAATGTATGTATTAGATCTAATTGACTTTTTTTAGTTAGAGGACCATGTGTAATGTCTTTCTTGCTACCATCACCCATTCTAATTTCAGTTTTAATTTTTGATATTAACATTTCTACAAATTGATCAAATTTGCTATTCTGTACAAAAAATCTGTTTGCAGATACACATGTCTGACCACAATTACGAAATTTACTTGCCATAGCACCTTTTATAGCTAAATCTATATCTGCAGAATCAAAAACAATAAATGATGCATTACCTCCCAATTCAAGGCAAAGCCGCTTTACATTTGAAGCACATTGTTGATATAAAATTTTTCCAACATTTGTTGAACCAGTAAATGATAAAACTCTTGTATTAAAATTTTCACATAATTCTTTACCAACAACAGGAGAATTTTTTTGACTTGTTGTAATTACATTTATTGTTCCTTGAGGAAAACCTGCTTTTTCTGCGAGATCAACTAATGCTAAAGCAATAAGAGGTGTATCTTCTGATGGTTTAATTATACAGGTACATCCAACAGCAAGAGCAGCAGCTGCTTTACGTGTAATCATAGCAAATGGAAAATTCCATGGTGTAATTAAAGCAGCAACACCAATTGGTTCTTTCCATAATAAAAGATTTCTATTAGATATTGGTGCTTGCAATATTTCTCCTTCGATTCTTCTAGCTTCTTCTGAAAACCATTCAATATATGAATTTCCATATCTGATTTCATCTTTAGATTCAGCAATAGACTTTCCATTTTCTTTGGTTAAAATTTTTGCTAAATCTTCTGAATTTTCCACAATTAGATTATACCAATTTCTAAGTAAATTACTTCGTTCCTTTGCTGTTGTTTTCTTAAATGATTTAAAAGCTTCAAATGCTGAATTAATTGCTAACTTTGTATCTTCAACATCCATATCAGGAACATTTCTAATAATAGATTTATCAATTGGATTATAAACAGGAAATGTTTGTTGTTTTATTGCTGATACCCATTTTCCATTTATATATGCTAAATCTTTTAAAAGATGCATTGATCGATTTAATGAAGGAACATAATGTAAAATATTTCTTTGTAATATATGCATATTTGAAAATTGGAATGGTAATCTGTAATTAAATTAAAAGTTTAAAAAAATTATATTATGTATTAATAAAAAAACATTATATGTTATCTTATTAATTAAGATATATAAGATTAAGATATATATATATATATATATAATATATAATAATATTTTTTAACTAAATATAACATTATATTACTTATAAAAATAATTAATAAGATATTAATTTGTATATTAAAATATTATATATATTATATAATATTATATAGTATTATATTATAGTATATTATAATATAATATAGTATATTATAATATATATTATAATATTATAATATAAATATATATAAATATTAACAAAATAATTACCTTTGAATAAAATGGATATAATAGAAAGACAATTTATATATCTAATATCTTTGATGTAATATTCTTTTACAAATAATTAAACTTTTAAATAATGATATCAATTCATTCTATCAATTTTGTCGTTACTGACTTACTTATATAACTCACCACTACTTTATTCTGATTAAAGCTAGTATGTAGTATGTATATATAAGTACTTGCTTATGTATTCAGTTTATTCTTTAACATATAGTAGTATGTGTACCCGGCGCGTCGGCGTCTTTCAGTCAATAAAATTGTTATCGGATTTAATTGTTTATTACAATAAATACATTCAGCAAAACAAAAAATATATAAGTATTTTATATATTATGAGTACAAATACAAAGAGAACAATTTATGTAGGTAAGTAAAAAACTATTATCGTTAATTTTAATTTTAAATAAGATATAACCTAATTTTAATTAATAATATTTTTTTATTATTATTTAGGAGGTTTAGCTGAAGAAGTCGATGAAAAAGTATTACATGCAGCATTTATACCTTTTGGAGAAATTGTTGATGTACAAATACCATTAGATTATGAATCAGAAAAACATAGAGGATTTGCTTTTATTGAATTTGAAAGTGCAGAAGATGCAGCAGCAGCAATTGATAATATGGTATATATATAAAACAACATTACCTGTGTGAGTTATTTAATATAGTTTTATAATAATGAATTGTCATTTATTCTTTTTATTTAAATATATTATTCATATTTCATATATAATATTTTATTTTTATAAAATTTTTGCAAAATATTGACTTTGCAATAACAATTATAAAAAAAATATAAATATATTTTATAATTTTTTATTTTTATAAAATAAAAAAATTGTTATTATAAAATATATATGAATATAAATTGAAAGTTAATTTTATTTATCTAGTCATTTAAATATTAATTATTTTCACACAATTTTATTTATTTTTAAATTTATTAAACTTTATCTTGGATAAACAGAATGATTCTGAGTTGTTTGGACGAACAATCAGAGTAAATATTGCAAAACCACAGAAAATAAAGGAAGGTTCATCGAAACCTGTTTGGGCTGATGATGTATGGTTACAAGAACATGCAGGTGAAACACTTAAAAATGATGATAATACAAAATCAAATGATATGGTACAACCTAAAAAAGGAAAACAAAATCCTCAAGTATATTTTGATATTAGTATTGGAAAACAAGAATTAGGTAGGATTATTATGATGCTAAGAGCTGATATTGTACCAAAAACTGCTGAAAATTTTCGTGCTCTTTGCACTCATGAAAAAGGATATGGTTATCAAGGAAGTATTTTTCATAGAATTATCCCAGAATTTGTATCCTTTTTTTTAAAAAACTTATAAGATTACTTTTTGTATGATATCGTATGATATATAAAATATATATATTATAACAGACAAATAAGTTTCTTATAAAAATATAGATGTGCCAAGGAGGAGATTTTACAAATCATAATGGCACAGGAGGAAAATCAATTTATGGAAATAAATTTGATGATGAAAATTTTGAATTGAAACATATAGGACCTGGTACATTGTCAATGGCAAATTCTGGTCCAAATACAAATGGATCACAATTTTTCATATGTACAGCACGTACAGATTGGTTAGATGGAAAACATGTAGTATTTGGTCATGTTCTTAGTGGTTTGGATGTTTTAAAAAAAATAGAAAAATGTGGAACAAAATCAGGCATCCCTATTCAAAAAGTTATTGTAACAGCTTGTGGAGAATTAACTTAAATAATTTATAAAAAATTATAAATTTTTAATAAATAAAATTATAAAAAGAAATGTAAAATGTATTATGTATTATATCATTAATATTAATATTAAATAAATTTTTTTAAAAAATAAAATAATTTTAATGAAATAATTAAGAAAAAATTGCAATGTTAAAGATAGCTAAGATTATAATAAAATATGAAAAATTTATAATTGTTTATTTTATAATAAAATTTTTTTTATCAGTTTTAAAAATAAGAAACTTTATTCTAAAAAACTAATCATTTTATATATATTATATATATTATATATATTATATATTAAAAAATTCGTATTATGATTGATCTATTTTAAATGTGCAAATATTTTTGTTGTTAGCTGTGAATAATAAATATTTTATAAAAAATATTTTGTGTATTTCTGAATAATAAAATTAAATAAACTAATAAACAAAATTTTACCGAATCAAACACGAATGATATATTTTTTTTATTTTCTGATAATATTTAACAAAGAAAATATAAATAAATATAAAAAATATAAATAATTTCGATTTTAATAATCTATTAAGAATTATATTTCACAAGTTACTTTAATTGCTATCATGATTCCATTCACGATTCATCCTATTAATCCAAAAAAAAAAAAACTATTAGCTTCATGACTCATATTTTAGCTGTATTGTATTTTGATCATATTTGCATTACCATTATCATCATAAAAAACATAAAACATAAATAGAATTCTGATTATATACATAATAAATAATAATTACATAGTGTGTGTATATGTACATATATATATATACATATACTATAATTATAATTAAAATGTTAAATATAATTTAATATATANTAAAAATATAAATATATATTTTTAAAATATATGTAAACATTTTAAAAAGAAATAATATTTTCATATTTCAATTGCAAAATTTTCAAAAATATTTGTAATATTTAATATAAATTTATTTTATATTTTTATATTTTATATTCATTTATTAAAAAATAATATAATTTTTAATAACATGTAAATAATGTGTAAAAATTTCATATAAAATACATTTAAAGTCTACTTCGCATTCCACCAGCAGCAACAATAGTTTCACCAGTAATATATGAAGCATCATCACTTGCTAAAAATGCAGCAACACTTGCTATATCATCTGATTTTCCAAATTTATTCATTGGTATTTTTGATAACATCATTTCTCCTGTCTCATTTTCATAAAGCTATGAAATACATATATTATATTAATGTTATTAAATAATAAACTTAGAAAAAATTATAAACATACATACTATTTGTGAAAATTTAGTTTTTATAATACCAGGTGCTATGCAATTAACACGAATTCCTTCAGGTGCAAGAATATTAGCAGCTACTTGATTAATTCCTAATATTGATGTTTTGCTGATAGAATATACACCTAACATCTTTAATATCAATTTTCATATTAAAAAAAAATTAAAAAAAATTATTTGTGAAATCAATTGTTAAATATAGAGATTATTTTACATTATGCAAAATAAAAGACATTTTTTTTAAATATAATTACTTACATCAAGTGGTAAATATCCTACTATTGAAGACAAAAGTATTACTGATGCTGATTTGCTCTTTCTTAAAAATGGTAAGGAATCTCTTAATAAAAGAAATGTACTTTTAACATTAATATCAAAAATTTTATCCCATACTGATTCTGAAGTTTCAAAAAAAGTAGAAAAACTTGGATTTATGCCTGCATTTAGTACTAGAATATCCAAGCCATGAAATTCTTGTATAGTCTACAATTAGTTTATATTATTTATAGTTTATAGTTTACATTATTAAATTGTTCTTATAAAAAAAATATATTATAAATTCATTATTTATAATATAAAATAAATAAAAAATTTACTTTTTCAAGTAGAGATTTCCTATCTTCATTTTTGCCAACATGACATGTTATACCACAGACATTTAAATTTTTAGACTTAAGTTCCTTTAAAGCATTTTGTACATTTTTTTCGTTACGGCTACTAATCATTACTTTAGCACCTTCTTCAGCTAAACGTTTTGCTATTGCAAAACCAATGCTATAATAAATTACATTTTATTAAATAATATAATTATGGAATAAATTTTATTCTATATAACAAAAAAAATTGAATGTATAATTTCTATAAGTAAATTACCCTTGTGTTGATGCTGTAACAATTGCTACTTTTCCTTCTAGCCGTTTACATTTTATTTCTGATAAATTGCGATTAATTTGTTGCATAGTTCGATTTACTGAAGAGCGTAACATTATAATAAACTATTTCAAAAATATAAATAAATTTTATATAAAACCTATTTCGATTTATTACGTTTACTTTATTTGATGATATCAATATAGTTATATATTCATATATTATTCATATATCATTATCATTTTTATACTTCATGGAAATGTACTAAAAACAATAAAATAAAAAGATAAAAAAAATAGAAAAAAAAGATAGATTTTTTCAAATTATGTTTCTACTCGAGAGATGGCGTAGATCTTTAATTCTTATTCTACTTTATTTTATTTTTGGAGAAATGTTCTTTGTATCTAAGAGATAGTGCTAAATCATCTATTTTTATTTTTTTTCTTTTATTTGCTTTCTTTACTTATATTAATTTCATTTATTTTAGAAATGATTCTTCAATTTTTATTTTATTTCTGTCCTTTTTTAATTATTTGTTTTGTCTATATTTATTCTTGGCGCGTAATCAACATAAGAAATAAATAGTTTTCATTATTTGTCTTTCAAAATTATAATGAATTTTAATCTTTAATGTAACATATAAATATCACATCATTGGTTTTACAGTGTATCTTTAAAAAAATTATTTTGTAAAATATAATATATTGATATATGACATAAATCGTTTAATGTAAAATATCATTTTAAAATAGCGGTAGAATTTAAAAAAATAAAAGCAACAAGAACATAGGAATGAATTTTAAAATATTCTTTAAAAAACAACGCTATCGCTATATTTGTTGAATTTATTTTTTGCTATTTGTAATCTTCAAAATAGTTAACCGTTATGAATAATATGAATAAATTTATTTAAAATCTGTTCGCTTAAATTTATATGATCCATTTTCATTTTTTTCTTACCATTTAAAGTTTTGAATCTTCTTTAAGCTTCTTTCACATGACAATGTAAGTATCAATATTATATGATAATGCAATATGATATGAATACTAATGGTATATAAAAATTCAATGAGGCAATTGCTAACTAAACATTGAATTTATAATTAAATATATATTATCAATACCCATAAATGAATATGATAATATTTATATTGTCATGTGAAAAAGGTCTAAGTGTAGACATTATGGAGCAATATTGTAGTTTTTTTATGATAGTATGAGAGAAAAGCTATTGGATGACAGAGCAAGTCAATATAATCAAAGCATAGTGTATGTAATACTATTTTCAATA